GTCTGCTTCATTACTAACCAGCCATCTGACTTTGAGCAAGCCGCGTAGAATCTCCAAACCTCCGTTTTCTCATCTGTAGATTGGGGATGATAATCTCTTTTGACAGACTTTGTAAAGAACAAATAATATGATTGACCAGCAAACTGCCCAGCATGCACTGGGCAAACCTAGTGAATAAAAAGACCTGCTTTTATTAGCATTGTGCGTCATTTGAATATAGGTAGAGCTATTAGTTTGCTCAGGCTGCCATCAAAACACCATAACCTGTTGGCTCGAACAACAGAAAGTTAGTTTCTGACGGTTCTGGAGGCGTGAAGTCCAAAATCAAGCCAGCAGGGCTGGTTTCCCTGAGACCTCTCCCATTGGCTTGCAGGTGGCTGCCTTCTTGCTGTGTCTTCACATGGCCCTTCCCTGTGCATGGGCACCCCAGGGCTGTCTGCAAGTCTCTCTCTCTCTCTTTCTCTCCTTATAAAGACACCAGATGCATTGGATTAGGATCCTACCCTTATGACCTCATTAAACTTCTTCACCTCCTTCAGACTATATGTTCAAATATAGTCACATTGGAGGTTAGGTCTTCAACATACAAATTATACAGGGACATATTTCAACCCAAAACAGGGCCAGAAATCAGGCTGCAGTAGATTAAGGAGCAAGCAGGAGTTAGGAAATGAACCCAGTGGATAAAGCCAACATTTCTGAGACATTTGACAGTGCAGCGGAGGAGAAAGGTTGTCATTATTTTTATCATTGTTAAGAGAGCACGTGGCCAAGTAGAAAGAACATAAGCTTTGTCATTAAAGATTTGGATGTAAATCTTGTCTCTATTTATTTCTCCTATGTGACATCTGACCACTAATTTTTTTCACCTCTGTGAGACTCAGTACCCACATATGTAAAAAAAAAACCACAAAAACCAAAAAGGACAGTTATACCTCATCTTATTACGAGCACTAGAATGGTATCAACAGAGCCCATCTCCCAACATGGACTAGGAGCTCAGTGAACGTTAAGCCCCATATTAATCCCCACCCCAAATGCATGCTCTTCGCTGGTGGCTGAGCCACAGCACGCATTTCACAGCAGAATCACACTATGCTCTCCACAGAGTTCGCCTTCAGGAACCAGGGTTTTCATTGAGTTAGGTGGTATCGTGTGTTTTTTAATTTATCATAAACTGGTGATTGCTGATGATTTCAGGTGTGTTTTCAGAGCCTGTCAGCCTCCTAGAAACTGAAACAACCCTTCAGCAGGTAGGAGTCATTAAGAAGTAAGGTACCAGTGAGCTGGGAAAACGAGAGCCTGCGGCGGGCACTTCAAGCACAGTGCTTTGAATATTGCATGTGGTGCTCTGAATATTGCATGTGCTGCTCATCCTATCACACACTTAACTGACCCCCCAACCCTGGGTCTTTTGTCTCAGTCTCAGCATCTGCAAGTCTGTGACAGCTGGGGAAGAAACTGTGTTGAGCGTGTGGTTCAGATGGCTGTGCGGTTACAAAGGCCAAGAAGTTAATGAGCTGTTTTGTTTCTTTCCAGTGGGAGGGTCACTAGGTCTAGACAAGGTTATGCTATGATTGAAAGACTGCTCAGAAAACCTGATTAAAATGTCCTCTACTTTTGCTCATGCTGTGTTTCTCAGAACAATGCACAGTCAACAGTGAATCCAAAGAAGGCATTTAAGGGCCACCAGAGGTCCACAGACCTCAGTCTGAGAAATTTCTAGAGGGCAGCTAAGGTTCAAGGGACTCCAGAGGAATGGAAACTCTAGCAGCAACATCATCTGTTTACCGACTCATTCATTCATTCACCAAATAATCCTTGAATTTTGATGGAATATCAGACTCTGTGTGAAGTCCAGAGAATATTCAGATCTGTAAGACATTGCTCCCGTTTCCAGGAACTCACAATGGAGAAGACAGACATGAGCAGATCACAATGTTTTGCTTTACATGCTGTATGAGACGGAGGTAGGGTGTGAGGCCTCTGACCAGGGAGCCATCTGTCTTCATGGCGGAGCAATCGGGAAGGCTTTGGAGAGGAGGCAGTAATATTAGAATTGGATCATAAAAGATGCACACATTTCACCAGGTGAGAAAGGAATGAGGAATGTTTTAAGCTTAGGCAATGGCACTCTAAATGATTCAAAAGGAGCTTACAGCTGCACATTTTTTGAGAAAGCAGGGTCTTTCTGTTTGTTATTGTTTGGTTACATTAGTTTTATTTCTGGAGCTTATTTTTGTATTGGCAACTGCAATAATTGCAACGCAGCTCAAGTCATTGGATTCGCAGCAGCCGCAGAGGGTACCATCTTCCCTCATTCTCTCTGCTCAGGACCCATCGAGTAGAATCAACTTCTTTGCTACAGTGAACAAAGGGGAAAATCAAAGGAGCCCTGTTTGGCTTGTTTTACTTTCCTCATAAAGCCCGGCCTGAGGCCGAGCTGTTAGCTCCTGGCTGGCTTTACTAGCTGCTTTCTCTCTGTTCACATCCTTTCGAGGCAAAAACACGGAAATTCTCACCCATTTTTATCTTTGTCAGCTCAGAGTTTGTTCTTGGTCTTCCCATCTTTTCAGGCCCCTTTTATTACTTTTATCCATCAATCACTATTCTGCAGCTTTTCCAGACCACCGTTGCAAAATAAATGATTTTGATACAAAAAGTACAAAACAAATATTTGCTTTCAACTCCTCTCTTTCATTTTGACAAGCACAGCCACTCCAAGGATTTGTTTCATCGCCATTAGTGGTCTTTTGTAAACCCCTTGAGGGCAGTGGCAAGGACATGCCGACATGAGACGACATGAGACATGCCCTGACCTTCACTTCCCTGCCAAGGGAGAGCACCGGCCCTCACTGCCCCCAGGGAAGCAGGGCAGTAAGAAGGTGCAGGTGTTAGTGAGAAGCGGCATTACTTTTTTTTTAGTTAATTTTATTGGAGTGACATTGGTTAATAAAATTACATGGGATTCCGGGGTACAATTCTATAACGCATCATCTGTATATTGTACTGTGTGTTCACCACCCCAAGTCATGTCTCCTCCCATCACCATTCATCCCCCCTTCACCCTCTCCTCCCTCCCCTACACACCCCTCCCAC